GTTTTTCATCATAATCTGGATTACCCAAAATTATGTGAACGGCGCCTTGAAGTGCTCCTACAAAAAACTAATCAATGCCAACAAGATATATTTAACCACGAATATTCCAACAAAACACTCTAAAAGTTGGAAGACCTCTTCAGACAGGCTCTCCATGGCTACTTTCCTCGGCCGCCGAAACCTGACCGGTTCAATCGAAAGCAAGCTTTAAGGAAGTTCGAATCTGTATTGCATGCGAGATACCAGATTCTCCATATACCTTGAGTCAATAGACCTTCACATCAAACAGAGCAGTTTTCATTTTTTTTTTCATAGTAGAGATATACTCATAGATCTTCAAACTCGCAGCTTAGATACAAAAGAGAGACTGAACTTAAAGTAGCTGAAAACGATTTTTGACAGCCCTTTGGTCAACTCCCCAGCTCGTGATCTGAACAGAGGTTTCGACTTGTGAAGGAACATTGGAACCGTACCTGCTTCTACTCTAGAGTATCGCTTCGTTGGGCTGTCGTTTTCGTTGGACATCTGAGAATTGGCACGATTCTATAAGTCTTTTGAATGTGTTAAGCGATACATAGAGAGCACTTAGCCTGAACACCTAGTGTGTATCATTATCCTCTGATGAGAAGGTGCGATTGGTAAAGGGCTGAGTGCCAATCATACATACTGTTTTGCCCCACTATGTGACACAATAGACATTCTGGCTTCAAGTGGCTCTCGAAAGCTAGAATTGTAGACGGTCCAAATGAACCAGGACAATCTGAGACACAATTTTCAGACATAAGATTCTTCCTAGGCTCAAAGCGTGGTCTAGTCCCCAGGAAAAGTTTTTGCGTGTTTGAGCTCGTCAAAGCTCATTACGGACAGTCTACAGCTTTTACCATTTACCCACCTCGTAGTCGTCCCCTTCTGACATCTTTCTTAGTGCAGCTCTGAGCGGTACGAGCTCTTGATCCTTCTGCTCAATCGCTGGTGGCGTCAGTGGTCGATATAGCAGACCGAATAAAGCGCAAAGAAAAACTAGTACTGCCAGAATCCAAACCGTATACTTCCAACCAATATCTGAATAACATTATCTTATCGCTGTAACAAAGAAACTGTTCCTCTAGGAGCACTATACACTCCAGGGTTACTCACTCGAGATGCAATATTGACAAACAAACGGCATGATCATAGTTCCAACCCCAGATCCAGCGACAGCAATACCAGTAGCTATAGCTCTAAAAGAAGTGGATCAATACATGTTCACGATCTTTTGCCTACAACGGAAAACACGGTGTTCAGGATTACGCGAGGAACTCATGCTGAAATTTGGCGAAGCATCACATCTTGAAAATTTCTTTACTACAAGTGACCTTCGAAATTTTCACCATAGAGCTTGAGTTTTACATTATTTCGGCTCGTAAAAACACTCAATTATGACAGGTGGAAGCATGGGACCGCCTCCTACAATACGTCATTTTTATCGATATAGCCTCACCTGTCCCAAAAGAGGCATGCTTCCCCTCTAAGATGATGCAAAATTACACCGATTCGATCACTCGTTAAATTTTAGAAAACCAGATGGAAACAGATAGTAATAATCGGCGAAAAAGCGGGCAGATCTTCCACGTTGTTCTTCCAAAACCGCGCTATGCACATAAGTTGGGAATGGACTAGACTATCTACGATTGATTACTGAAAGTGTTCAAACCAACCGTTTACTCTCAAAATAATACCCGACAACAACTATGGCTGGGAGATAGATCATCCCGAATCCAACACCTCCAACGACGCCGTAGATTAGCATGAAAGCATAGATGTTGGGTGCAGCCACGGAGATGATAAAGGCGGTCCCAGCAATGAGAGCACCACCGATGACAACTTTGCGAGCACCATACTTGTTCACCAAACCACCCACAACAGGTCCTAACAAAAAACAAATCATCAATGAATGGCCAGTACGTACATTATGAATTCATTCTAAAACTGTAACACTTCTCACCAACTAGCAAGTAAACGCCGATCAGCAAAGAGCCTATAAGGGCGGTTGAGGCGTCAGAAGCCTAAATATGTTGAATCGTATTCGACTAGAATGGCATTTACTAGTCTTGTCTTGGAAGACGCAGTCCTTCCCTACGACCGCTCATGATTCGGTTGTGTTGGTAGCGAACCGATCACAAATATTCTGTGATGTCCGTCATCGATTTGAAGGCTTCAATTGTCAAAAGAGTTTTATGAGACTCCAAAGATGCCACATAGCAATCATTTAGAAAGCCGCGACATTCGCTTTATTTCGTGCCAATTCGTAGAACCAAAAGCATTTAAGAAATACTCACATGGAAATGTTGTGAATAAGCACCCTTGAACTCCGTAAAAGAAGTGCAAACGCCGTCAACGATGAGATTTGAGAAGAAAGCAGCTATAACAATCACCCATCCATAGCCACCATCAGGTGGTACAGGAAGAAGATCGACAGCTACATCGGCACCTGTACAAAAGCAATTTTTGAAAAGAGTATTGTTTTATCTTTCAAGATGAATATTTGTTCCTTATGAAACCGAATATTTTGGAAGCATAGGAAAGCAGTCGTGGAGGATAGTTGCAGCTCAAAGGATCGAGACAAAAAATGTGCTCATTTCCTGCTTTTTAAACCAGTGGCACTCGCAGGTCCGGAATAGAAATTTTTGCAAGAAGCAAGCGGCCGTACGTCACCCACACTCTCGAATGTGAACCTTTATCGAACCAGCTGTCGTCAAATTAATGACCCCAAACATATTACCCATTCGAGCGCAGGAGCACTAGTCCTGCTTGTGTGTTTCGAGTCGATTGAGATGTCTACTGCTTCATACATAATCGTGCGAGGTCGCAGTAAGCATGTCAGCTGGTGATTCCCTGTCTCAACCAGTTCAGACACCTGGCATACCTCTAACCGGCTGTACAGAGCACACCGTCAATACGCAATCCATCACTATAGGGAAGAAGAGTTAGAATAAAGAATACAGTAAAGAAAACAAGCGAAAGTGCTATATTGAGTATGTGGTACTTGATGTGACTATGAGATGGAGCATCGGAAGATCCATTCATGCAGAATCGAGTTAAGCCAAACCAAACTATTCATTGCCACATTTTGGAGTAGTTTTATGACCCTCTGAACTTCATGAAGAAGAGCTTTTCGCAATGTTCCTTTCACTATCGTTGCTCAGTGAATTGCATATGATTTCGATTACTGATTCTCTTTCCCTATGCATTTGTTGCGTTTAGTCAAGGTCACTCCGCGCTCCAGTATTCAAAGTTGCCAGTATGTATCTAGTGTATAACTCCAAAATTAATCCAAATGATGCAGAACCTGCCGATCAAATGGATATTATCGCTTGAAACAGCAGAACTTCTTTAGCGTGCTAATTCAATGGTACTCTCTTTCAGTAGATAGGATAAACTACGAGTTCATTCGGTAATTTCCTGGCCACAGACGACAAAGCTTATTTGTTTGAAGTTGTGATGAAAAGCGATTCCCAACAACCTTGTTCCCAACTCAGCGCCTACATCATGTCGTTCTCATTCCTATTTTGCGGATACTTCGTCTCCCTGACCCCGATCCAACCTTAGACAACCATGGTACGTTCGACCCTTCACCAGAAAGCTTCATCGACTTGAATTAATTTAACATGCATTGCCATATCTATTCTAATGTTATTGAAGTGGTTAGAAGAATAAGTATATTCGAGTTGGGTATACCGGGTATGCATCTGTTCTGCCTCGATTGCCACCCCATCACCCCCCCCCCCCCCCCCTCCTTAGGTATTAGAAGGGCATTGTTTAGGCTCGAACATGACAAACATTCGAAGTTGTATGTTTAAGAAAGAACGGAAGTCAAGATGAATATCGATGGTAATGCGACCTGTCAACAATGCAGATTGGTAATAAGAATTGATCGAAGGCATTTTAAACGGATTACTATCACTGGAAACATCATTTGATCATGTTACACACTGACCTTTTCAGACTAAATGTCTATTAGAGAATCGATCCGATTTCCAATGAAACCCAACTTGTCATCCATGAGAATTTTCAAAACTTCACATACAATATTCCGCGTAACAGGAGAAATGGGTCCAACGTAATCAACAATGTAATAACGCAGAGAAACATCCATCCTGCCGAAATTGTTCAGAACAAATAAGCATTCACTAGCGCCCTTTGACAGCTGAGTGATTTTGATCGCAGTAACAATGCCGTTGGGACATGGACAGATACGAAAATTAGTATGGCATTCAGCTCTCCCAGCAATCCGGCATGGCAACCACTTTAATACGCAAACTCTCATCCGTCACATATACGACGCGTCTAAAAGGGTTTGGGAAGGACACGGGGTGGGTGATAGGGAGGCTAGGGGTTACTGTACGAACCAACTGCCGGCACTGATTTTTCGTTCCGTGTGACGCGCGTCGGAGGGGGTGGGGAGGGGTGGGGGTTCTCAAATCATTGAGTGCTAGGGCGTGGAGGAGGGGTAGCCTACTTCGCGAGCTCATTGTGATGTAATGGTTTGTAGGAAGGTTTCTTAAACGAGGAATATGTTCATGTACCTAAACCTTGGAAGGGGAGGAACTTCGGGTTGAACAAGCCAAGATGTTCAATTCTTATCCCATCTCAGCTATTGGGGAGGTGGTAGGGCAGCTTTTTTCTCAGCTAAAAGAGTATGTTTACTTAAATAAACCTTGGAGGGGAAGGAGCTCTGGTGTAGGCAAGCTAGGATGTTCATTCTTAGCCCATCTTAGCTATTTGCACGTGGTAATAGTCTCACCCACCCCGTAGCTCTTCCTCTCCTAGAATCTAGATAAACAGTATTCTTTTGGCTCAAGCAAAGCACAGGAGCACAAGTGAAGTCGGCTACCCTTCCTCCTCTGCGCGCTAGCGCTCAGTGTTGGACAAAAGCAGTACCCCCAACCCCTCCCCTCCCTCCAACTGTTTACACCTCCACCTTGAACGTTTTTGAAAAGCAAGTATGCTGTCGCTTGAAACCACATCTGATTAGTTAGGCAGAAAAATAAGGAGTCAAGGGGGAGCAAATTTAGTGTCTGCACCTCTACATAGTACCAACGAGTTTGAAAATTGAATCAAGATTACCTGGTTGGAGATTAATGGAGAGACTGGAATAGTCGAACTCTTGGTTCATACCGTCCAAGGAGCCGCACTCCTCGTCCTCAAAATAGGCACGGCTGTCCACTGAAAGACTGCAAGTTGGTAGATACGATACTAGACAGCAGATCAGTGATATCTTATGATGATTGATTGACTGCAAATCCAGAAACAATTGACACAATATTGATCGAGTTACTTCTGGCAGCCTACATGACGACACCTCTATGTGGTACAAAGTTCCGCGAAACTATCTTAAAGGGCACGTTTAGAGTGGGAGGGGACACAGTGAATATGAACCCATTAGTTTTGACTTTATAGTGTTTCGAGAAGGTGAAGGCCGATATAATCGACAGCAATTTTCGAACATAGAAATCATCCAAAAACGAATAACAGCTTAGACGATCGATAAGAGTGGATAGCGAGGAAGAGCACGAACTAGACGGCTCGTTGAACTTCGAGTAGAACAAAAAGATCGGGCGTCGACAGACACAGGCCGATCACTCACTTTCGACCCCTCCCACTCTCAATATGTCGCAGCGTTAGTCACAGATAAAAAATTAAAGTGCAGAGTAGTAAAACAATGCTACCGTTGCTATGCTGGATGACCTAACGAATGATAAATACAACAGACAAGATAAAATGAAGGATTATCCTTGATCGGTTACCCAGGCCGTCAGCAATTGGAGGCCACCGTTTAGACCACCTACCCAGTTGAAACACCAATACCCAGAACCGATACAGTAATGGGTTGTTTGTTGTATTTATCTAGTGGGTAGCTTAGCAAGGATTCAAAGTAGTTCAGAGTGCACGATGTTTGTAGAACGCTAATGGTTATGATAAAAACCTGATTGAAACTGAAGTGCTTCGATGGAGATGGCGCTGATTCAGCGCTCGTTAATCATCGATTGATATGCTCCTAACGCCAAGAATGATGACGGGATTGAGTGAGCCAATTCACGTACAAATCTGCCCACTTCGCACCTTCTTCCCACCTCCTCTCACTAGCCTGTGGGGGTGAACTCGCCTAATTGGTCGGCTGCTGACCTCTCTTTCCAAACAAGACTCATGTGTAGCAATGTCGATTGTATGAGTTAAAAACTTCGTCACATTTCAAGTATGAGGAATAAATTCAAAGCAAAATAAAGAATAAATATGCAGCACATTAATCATGTAATACAGAGAGCTCTTAAGTTGTAGTAATCATATGGAAGGGGAAAAGAGTTTATTGTGGAAAGCATTTATGCTCTCAAGGCTTCTGCTAGCAAACCAATAAACAGAGAGTAACTTTTCACATTTTCGTCGACACCTTGTACCACTTTCTCAGAAATCACTTGGAGATATTCAAACATGTGGATGAAAGCATCATAAACCCCCCCCCCCCCCCCCCCCCCCCTCTACAGCGTTTGTCATGGGATGAGCGCAATGTCCCATTTGTGCGGCTCTATTTTCGACCATAGTGCCTTCTCCGACTTCAAACCGAGATTAGCTGCTCTTGTTGCCCCTTCTTACTCCTACGGGTCTCTGTATTTAGCTAGCCCACCAAAAACACTATACCACCTTTATTCTATGCACCTTCATCCCTTCCACAATTTGCACATTCACTCTCTGTTTCCTCGAGTACTGTAGCTCCAAACCCCTTTCATATATCCGCAGCACCTGGAAACACTGTGAGCTCCGTATACCAAAACCCTTCGTTTCCAATAACCCTAGGACAGCTGCAGCTACCTTAAATAAGGAGCATATCCAAGTGCAAAAATATGCTGTCGAAAGGCAGGCAAGCAAGAAAGGGAAGCATAACGTACTAGTTTAACTATATGTATAATAGTGCATAGCATAAGAATATTATAAAGCAAAACTGCAAAAAGATGTCTAAATACGTCACCGATAGAGCTGCATAGTTTTCATGTAATGTTGTAAACTTGAATTTATACATTGCCTTCTCCTTACTACATATTATTTTAAAATGTGTAATAATAATAACAGTGATAATAATTCTAACAATAGTAATGATGAAGTTTCCATTTCATATGGGTGTGAAATTCAGTACGTGAGAATGACTACAAAAAAGTAAAAACAAGGATCAAAGAATATGTTGATAACATATTTAGAGGTAAACTGAATACACCATTATACAATCATTTTTTTCGAATGCGATAAAGTGGTATCAATAATAATATTGGACCCTATTGAGTTACACGATAAAGCAACGTTACTAAAAAAGAGCTATTTCGGATTATACTACTATTGACTACTTACCCGTACGGACTGAACGATAACATTAAATGGTATGGCAATATATTTAAGTGATATTGATAATCCTCTAACGGTTTTAAAAAAGCCACCTTTTTCACTTGTAGTTACTAAGGAAAGAGGTAATAGAAGAATAAGCAGTAATATAAGGAAAAGACGAAGAAGACGCGAATCCGCGTTTTTTCGTCTTTTCGAATAATTAGGGTGAGTATTGTACATACAGGGACCAACTCATTCGTTATAAGTACTCTATTAGAGACCATTACCAAATTTGTTAAAGAAATTATAAAATTTCTTAAGTAGTAAACATTAATCGTAGTACAACTTAGTTTTTATTTTTGTAAGTCGGCAGTGGCGTGAAAGCTAGCGTCTTCCCAGTCTTTACATGGATCAGAGAGGCATGCTGATAGGCTTACTGAAGCACTGATTCTGAAACAGCCCGTAGTTTTCCCAAAAGGACGTTACTCCTGACCACAGAGCTAAACTCCTTCAAGGGTGGTGCCGACGCGAGGTGCTCGATTTCAGTGGCATGGATGAAACTGCTCTGCAGATTTTGGGTCACTTGGCTGCCGAGTATAGTCCCTCATTAGGAGAAGACCAAACGAGTTTTCAATTTCAGGTTAGAGTCCTTGAAAGCAAGACTTAAGAGCGGGCTGGGAGGGAATGAAAGCGAGGTATCCCTGTGGAACACACGA